GGCAAGCAAAGTATTTGAACTTCTAAGAATAAGACTGACGGACGCTATAACAGCCGCCCGAAGCCTTAAGGACAATCGGCATAGTTTCCGCAAAGGTAGGTCACGATAGGAGAAAAAACCAGCGGTCAAGGGTACAAGAAGGAATTACCACGGAGGTAGACCATTAGTAATGTTGGTTTCGTTAGAAATCAGAAATCCCCATAACTCTATTTGGTAAAGGAATATCAAGGAGGCTTTACAAACCTTCCGGGTTCCTTCCTACTTGACAAAAGTGATGAGAAATTGTTTCAGAGACAGACATTTGACGTATGAAACAATAAAAGAACAAGAAATCTGGGAGATAATGGCATCACAGGAATTTAACTGAAATCAGACTTATATAAAGTGGTCTAAGATGACTAGCTGAGCCAGAGGATGCCTCGGAGTGTATCTCTTACCGCCTACATGGACAACGTCCGAAACAGAAAAAACAGACTTTTGATGTCAACGATTTGTTTTATCCTATTATATGAGATGGACACCAGAGCCGACGTACTGAAGTCTTAGAAATACCGGAAATGGTTACTGAACATACAAAGACAGAGGTACTTAATATTATGTAAGCATATCAAATAGTCTCGCAAGAAGCTATGCTGGTTATTGCGGGCCCATAGACCTGCTAGCTAAGCGGTTATATGAGGAAAGCACGGATATGACACGAGATAATGCAACACTCACGGCAAGGGAGGCAATATTGACTAAATGGCAAAAACAATGGACCAGAGGTGATACTCAGAAATGAACGAGACGTTCGATAGATCATCTACGACCCTGGTTAGGGAGGAGATTTAGAGAGGTAAGTTTTTATCTCACCCAGTTCCTTATTGGCTACGAGTGCGCGTGCACACATACACACACACGCGCGCGCGCGTGCACACACTTACACGGACTTAAATTTGCCTCTGCGGTATAAATAAATTCGCTTTATAAACTAATACTACTAGGGAACAAGGAGAAAGGTGATCTATAAACGGTTAAATTTCTAATGAATGCATCAGAAGGAAGCTCTATAAACAAGCATCTCACGGAAAAAAATGGAGAGTAACTTATTGGTTCAACAGATGAACGTCAGGATAGAGAATAAAAATAATCAAGAAAAAGTACGTGCTTCTATTCTGGAGAATACGTTAACACTACTAGGCACTGTGAGGCCGTCAAAAGGATGGGGCACGAACCCGGTGTAACCGACATGGAAGGCTACTCTGTACATTGGTATAACATAAGCTAGAAATCTCACCTCGTGTAATAATACCTACTGGGTCCATGGATCCATGATGTAAGAGCGAAAATGACTAGCAACGTTTATAGCAAAGGTTATATAGGTATAATTGTCGTTGTATTTCGAGACTACTGGACTGACGAGGCGCTCTACTACTGGGGCGATCGAGGACCGATCACTGGTGTCGCCGAATCAAAATACGAGTAAGCTATTTTGACTACCACATGATATACACATTAAATACATTAGTAGAAAATTATGCACGATAAAAATAAAAAGTTACAAGCTTCTTAGTACTACCTACGCAGGACAGTTCCCAACACCCTAATACATCGACGACACATTTAAGTATCAAAATATTAGTCAAACACTTTGATACCTCAGATAATGAACAAATGATCAATAATTTCCAGAACCTCCAGGCGCAGCTTAACGCATTTATGCAGTGCCAAAAAAAATGGAGAAACAAACCAAGATACAGAGTATTGTAATTACAGGTATAACGGCTGTAGTAAAGGAGGCAGTTAAGATTGCATGGAATAAGTGCGATCGTCTAAACTGTCTTCTGGAAAATGCTGTAAAGAAAGGAACACAAGAACAGAAATGAAACTAAGCGTAAATTAATCATAGAAATCAGGGCTGAACTAGTCGACGTCTATCAAAGACAGATTATACAACAAAAAGCCACAGGAAGTAATCTAGATGAGGCTACCGCTTTTAAAAAAGCGTGACACTCTACTTCAAAAAGCATGACTACAGGGCTGTAGAGGAATAGCGTTCAGGAGACAGAGACAAAAGCAGATACAAATGAAACAGACAAATACAAAAACGCCAAACTTCACGGTCGAAGAATTGAAAACTGCCACTACACAGTCTTCAAGATCACAGAAAAAAAAAGATACGTAGGAATGATGGGAGAGGAAGCAGTTCTTCTCAAGTCTATAGACAGAAAAATGCACACTGAGACAGATTAAAACGATGACGAATTCTACAATCTCTAAAGTAAAGGTAAAGCACTTCCGTAAGACGAAAAATGGATTGCTACTGCTACGGCTACGTAGCGACAAAACACCATGACGAGATTTCCGGGACAAGAGCAACTTCAACAAGTTCTGTATTAAAATGCACGGATCAAGGTCATGAATTCCAGTACATATCTGGAGAACTTGGACCTGGGCTGTGTGACCGAAATAAGCGACATAACATACGCGTTCGTGTGAGAAACGGGGAATAAGAAACAGATTTTCATGTGAGAAACGGTGATTATAAGAAACAAGTTTTCGGACCTAATAGACACGAGCAGTAAAAAGCATCCCTCAAACGCTGGTCCGTAGAGAGTGGATGAAAATCCGGTCGATTAGACTGCAAGACCATATGTGATATGTTGCCTATGTGTTGAGGCGATCGCAAAGATGTTAAACACAAGTCAGATTCTGGCGAGTGTAAAGCTTTCAGAAATGCGCTGGAGGAGTGCAAAAAAAAAACACGAAGACGTAACGACAGGTATAATACAAGGAAACCTACACAAATGCGAGGCAACGCAACTGCTGCTATGTGAAATCGGGGTGAAACGGAACGCAGATGTGTTAATTGGCGAATAGTATCGAAATATGACGTCTGCGACATGGTTTTCGCATGTCTCGGATACGTAAGTTATCTGAATTTGGGAGTCAGCACTATGCAGATCTTGGGTTGTAAGGCAGGAGACAACTACGTCTGGGCAAAGGTGAACACTGTCTCGTATGTCAACGACCACGTAACCCAAACTTGTATAGTCACGCAATTTGAGATGAAGTGGAAGGACTCGAGGGGGCGTTAAGAGACCTATCAGGGTACCTCATTATCGTGGGCGATTTTAAGTATGGATATTTTATAATTATTAATGCTCGAATAAACTAATAAGTTTTTAAAGCCAATTAATATATATTGAATTTAAATTGATTTTTTAAATTAAAGACACGTTATATTAAGGTGAACTGAAACAAATCAAATTGATTAAAGATTAGTATAAGACTAAAGATTATTGTTTTGTAATGAAAAAATATTTTTTATATTTTCAAATTCACAGAATTTGCTTTCTTACGTAAAGTAAATATTAAATGAGTACATGTGAAATAAGTAATTTGAGTTAAAGATAATTTCATTGATCGTAGCAAACTTTTTTATCATTGTAAAGTTCGTATAGAACGTAATGTCGATCATGTTGTTAATATATTCATACTTGCATAATAGCTGCTAATGATTTAGAAATAAACTAATTTACTTTAAATTTTTGGTTTCTGACTTATGAAAAGACTTATGAAAATATTATAAATTATGAATGCAGATTTAGTGAAACTAAAATGAAATGTGCTGAATTTTTATCAGAAAGATCAGTTCATAAATGTAATATGCACTTAATAATTATTTTTATCTGTTGACTACATGAAACAGCTATATAGTAAGCTGTTACATAAATATGTATATAATCATAAAAAATCGTACATTAAAGACCACAACTTTGAGTGAACTAGTAACCAATGGATTCATACATAAAATTGGTCTAATTTAATTTATTTAAATTTTAAACGTTATAATCAAATACAAATATTTCTTCTTTGTTATTTATAATATAAGCTATTAAATCGTAGTCGATTTTTGAATTTAGAAACTTTCAATTAAGTTGAAGGTAACAGAATAACTTAAAAACCTTTTTTTATTTGAATAATTGTTTTGCTGTCTATATCTTGTGACAATAAATGTCATATTAGCGCTGATAGCCTAACCTGGTGGCTGCCCGCGGGGGCAGCACCTACCGGTAGACGAAAAATGTAATGGGAATTCGGCACGCGACGAGACAAAACGCGCGCGATTGAAAATGAACCAGTGCAGGATTAACTACCGATACGGAGAGCCGCAAGTGAAGGATCGGCCATCGACATGCCTAGCCAAAAGTGCATAATCAGCTACCGATACACGAGCCAAAAGTCGAGAGTTAGAACCTGATCGCAAAGCTGTGCTGTTTCCCCGAGTTTTACCGGAGTGCCGATTCGATCCGAGTCGGAGCTGAGACGGCGGTGCCTTCGCCTGCCTGGAAAGCGTGTGTGAGAGTGCGCGTGTGAGGTTTCGCCAGCGAGGGCGAAACCGAAAACGCGAGCTTCCGCACATTAAAGACAAACTTTCCCGCAACGAGAGTGCGAATCGTTTCTTTCGTTCTTCGTACGTCTGCAAAATAAAGGTAAGCTGGCCAGCTTAATTTCGCGGTCGTGATATAATTGCTATACGACTAGTCCCTCGATTCGACAAAAAGCGTGCATGTAACATCTCGGCAAACAAAGAGCGGCGAGCGATCCGACACTGCATGTTGTTGTCGTGCGCGCGGCACGTAAACATAAACACGCGGGCCGAATTTAATGTAATATTGAGAGATAATAAAAGTTCTCGTATGTGATGTTAACAGTACTTTCGAAGTGTTCTTCTCGTATTTGTAGTTAGTTGGTTGACTGACACCCGTTCCCTCCTGCTCTCCGAATTTTGTGTCTGATGTAGGTAATTACGCGCGCCCATCAGTACGATCGCACGAATAACCTATTTAAACGGTATAAACCCCGTTACAATCTAAAAGTGAAACATTTTGTTATCTATACTTCATATTTCAATAAATGAATTGGTGTAAAAATATTATTATCAACATAAAATTAAAATCTAGAAAGACATCTATTAGTTATGTAACTGAATATCAAAAGCGAAAACAATTACTCACCAATCTTTACAACGGCAAATGCAAAAATGAGAATATTGAAGCAGATATTCCCTAAAACGATTCTATGGAACTCCAAAAGTATTTTTATATTATTAGCACAATATCCCTGAACAAACTTTCCATTCCATTCTATTTAAATATCCCAATTGTCCTTTTAATTTACAATGAATAGCTAGAAATTTTCTATATCTGTAAAAATAATAAAAGATTAAGTAATAGAGATTTCTTATGATTATATTATAGTTGTAGACTAATGATACATACATTAGCCTCAAAAATAAACTTTTGTGTAAATTACATTTTCATTTGGATGAACTTTTTTTCTTGAGCGTCTTAAAATAGTTGAATGAGTTTTTTAAAAATCGAAATATTAATTTAATCAAAGAATCAGAGAGAAACATAAATTAAAAACATGTGAACACGGAGACATTATAATGCATATGAGTGTGAATAATACAAATAGATTATTGTCTTCAAAATCCATGAAGTCCCAAATCGGCGATTTTTTTCTACTGTTTTCAATTGCTTATTTGAATGTGAGTCGGTCTTCAAAAAAATCAGGGAAAAACATTTCCGACGGAAAATTGTTTGAACTTTGGATTAACATTGTCAGAATTGTGAAAAAAATGCATATTAATACATTTATAATTATTTATTTAACAAATAATGCGAAATTTTGAGTGATAAAAATTTTTAAATCCTTGTTTTCCAGTTGAATCTCAATGTAGATCTTTATGAGTAGCGCATAAAAGGCATCCTCGACTTCTGGACTTTAAATCATAGGGGTAGGTTTTTTAAAATTCAACATAACGACATCCAATATGGCGGTTTAAAGAAGGAAATTTTTTGCTACTTTTTGTACTTTTTGGAAAAACAATATTTTTTTTATCAATATTCATCAAATATCATATATAGGAGTTTTTTGGGTCGCTGATTATGAATTTACCATCAGATTATCAAAATTTAAGATGGCGGATCCAATATGGCAGCCTAAAATTGATAATCAACATGGCTTCCGCAAAGGACACTGAATGATAAGAATAATAAGGAAGGTTACTGAGACTTTCCTCCGGGTAAACCGAGTATGTTATGGTACGAGACCATTGGTTTAGCTTGCAATATTAGATGTGAGAAATGCCTTTATCTCCAACAGGTTAGGGGACATTTTGGCTGCTCTACAAGCTTTTGGAGTTTCGCTTATCTCATGCGGGTGACGAGGGATTACCAACGAGACAGACGAATTACGTACGAGACGACTGAAGGACAAGCTAACAGATACATCACTGCGGGCGTTGCGCAGGGATCAATTTCGGGACCAAATTTCTGGAACGCGGTTTACGACGGCCTGTTAAGACTGGACACGCCAGAGAACGCCTTACTGGTCACTTCCGCCGATGACGTAGCGGTTGTAATCGTCCAGCGAGACCCGGAATTGACATAGCTGACGCTGAACTGGGTCATGCGACGGATAGACAGGTGGATGTCAGAGCACGGACTGTCACAGGCTTTAGGAAAGACAGAATTAATCTTGCTGATGAGTGAGATGATTCAAACCCTTATTCCAATATCCATAGGGACAGAATAGATGAAGACCAAGGGAAAGGTGAAATATTTAGGGGTGACCCTGGATACGAAGCTGACCTTTTGGCCTTATTCAGGGCGTAACAAAAGTACCGAAACAAACAGTCCTGTATTTTTTTAGGTAAGGTATCTTCGAAAAAGGCTAGGGTCAGATCTTTCGTAACTTTTTTCAAGGAATTCAATGGTGACCTTGGATTTAACCTTGAACTGGAGTTTCAAGGTGTTTGAAGGTCAACTTTGTTTTTTTCAAACGGAATCCCCTATTTTTTAACCCGGATTTGGATAGAGCAGGAAATTATACGTTCAAATCATGTAATATAATATATATAAAACGAGACATCAACGTGGACAAGACGCTTGATAAGTGGCCTCAAATTTCTCAAGGTTTCGGAGAGGTTAACTTCTACTTGACCTAATTCCTCACTGGACACGGATACTTCAGACAACTTATTTAGACGCAATCAAGTACGGACAGACTGTAACTGAAAACGATAATTGGTACAATCACGCCAAACAATACTGTGACGAAGCTGTTACGCGATGAGCACAACTTTACAGCGGTTGCTACCTTTGTTAAGACTGTTCTGAGAGGGAAGAAGACAGACAGATACCTGAAATTTGGATGAATGTATAAGAAATCCCAGGTTAATAATGTACGAAAGACTCAACAAATGAAATAAACGGAAAGATGTAACTAATGAAACTAACAGACGTTTGAACAGAATCCGTAGTAGCGAATTATTACGAAAGAAGTCCTACGCTATGGATTAGACAGAAGGTAGAATTTTCCATCGGAGAGGCATGTTTCTAAATACCCCCCAAGGGCATACTCGACAAATGGCCGATTAGATGGTCTGCATAGGCACTGAAGCCTCTGCCACAGATGGACTGGAGCAATTGCGTTTACCCTCTGCTGAGGATGACGTGTTCCCGTCATACCGGCGGGATCCTCGACATCTACCTTGGTAGACAAGATGGTCTGGTTTAGACAGATTCCCTGCTTTTTACCACCAAATAATATTAATAGTAATAATAATAATAATCGGATTAGGAAATGCGCACATTCCGGAAACAGGAGCGTATGCGGTTTGTCGGATAGTGCTGGAGCAGCGATGGAAGTAAATCCAAAATGACAAATTCTATAAGGTAACCTACGCAAGTGTGAAGCCGCTCAGCTGCGGCTCTCATAAGCAGCGAAAGAACGAAACGCTGACATACCGATATTGAGTGAGCAGCTATGGAACCTACGTACACATGACGGCTGATTTTCAAATGCTTTCGGCATATCGGCCGTTTGGGTAAAGGATAAACCGGTAAGTAAAAAAGAACCATCTGCAAGGGGGGAATATTACGTATGGGTAACGGTAGACACGATCACCTTCGTCAGTATATACCTTACGCCAAACTGCACGATGGCAGTCTTCGAAGATAAAATCGGTAAGCTGGAGCATACATTAAGATACCGCCCGGTTGATCTTATCATTGCGAGCGATCTGAACTCCGGGATGATCGAGTGGGATATGATAACGACTTGTAGATGAGATAGACTACTGTTGGATATGGCCACAAGACTAGACCTGGCAGTAAAAAACACTGGAATAATACTGACCTATAGACGAGTGGGTTATGGTTTTTCTATACCCAATGTGACCATGGTTTCGGACCGGATCAATACGCAGATAAAACAATGGCAGTTGATCGACAACTATACAGCCAGCAAGTACCAGCATATCGTCTTTAAAATAACCAAGCAGTAAGGAACGTGAAACAGACAAACGGCAGATTACATTTCTAAGTACTAGAACTTTCGAAAACTGGATAGATCAAGCTTTGAAGAACTACTAGTAGAGGTAACTACGTCAGCCGAAGTTACCCCACAGAAACTCTAAGGACGAAAACGGACGCAGTGGATAACCGAAAAGACATAGAACTGATTTGAGCAAAAAATTCTTAAAGTTTACTCAACGATAATTTTTTTACTCGAAAACTACATATTTTACAACAAATTTTCTAAGAACAATAATATTTTAGAATTATTCAAAGAGTATCCTAGAATTATTTCAGAATTTTTTGATACAATTTTCGAATTTTCGAATCCGTAAGTTCGAAAATTCAAAAATGTTATGAAAAATTTGAGTGTATTATTTGATCAATTTCACGATAATTCTGTTCACAGAAACTTCCTACAAAAATTTATAGTTGTGAAAAAAAAAATTTGTTAAATTTGTAAATAAAATTTTTATACTAGCCGTAATTTTGTTTAAACAATAAATTCTTATATTCGGACAAATTTACTAATATTTATTTTAGACATCGAGACTGTGACTGAGGTATATAAAAAATTTTTAAGGAATCAAAGTCTAGTTGAAGCTCCGCCTCTTTTTGGTCTCTCGTGTTTTTCAGCTATAATATATTGTAACGGGGGGGTAAACCTGCAAAATGAGAAATTTATATAAGAGCAAACTCCCACGATGCAGAGCAAACCGCCGCTCCGTTAACACGTATGTTAATACGTGTATTCGCCTTAACGTCAGCTGACTTAACTTGGTTGTCTTCGATCAAGCGGAGTTGAACTCACCTTAAGTCACGTGCCCTGTGACACACGATGAGTTTTAAGTGTAATCGACTTTGCTCCTAATCCACTTAATCCCCTAGCTGTGATCGGATTAAAACTTAAGCCTATTTCAATTGTTTAATCTATTAGGAAAAATTATATGACGAAATTGGCGAATAATTTTAATAGATTTTATTGATAAAAATCTCTACAGTCTTTATCGGGCCGAAAGACTGACGCACGCGAACAGGATTTACAATTAAACAACTTTCGGTGAGAAAGAGAGAGAGAGAGAAGATACGAAAATTGGCGCGATCTAACGCTCGGCGCGAATACAAAATTATCAACGCTAACGCGGCTGAGCAAAATAATAAATATATTTAGACACGCGATAATAAAGGGAGGTGCACCTACCCTGCGGTGCAATTACGGTGATCAGCCGTAATTGTTGATGTCAACAAAATATCAACTGCCTCCGGTCCTAGGTTATCAGCTGTGCTGCCTCGTACCACCTATCAGCTGCAAATCTGCTGCTACCAAAACGCTGCAATCTGTAGGTCTCGTTGTTGCACTCACGCACGTAATTATTATGGACTAGTAACTATTAGTCGGCGAGAAAAAACAGTGCAAATAACTTCGGCGATGCTCGTTCGAATACAGCTGAAGCGTAACTGCTAATTTGAAAGATCGCGCGCCCCCTCTCTCTCTGAATTCTTAGAACTAACGCGCGAAAATCAGAATCGCGAACGGTTCGATTAATTGAATCGACTACTGTTGCAATATGTTTCCTCAAACATTTCTTTTAATTACTTTCAGTAGTTATGAGGAATAGATTATTTAATAAATCAACAATCTCAGTTTTAACAATTTCAATATTCATAATATGATTTATACTGTTATCAATATTTGCCAATACATATTTACTACTATTAATGTTATCATTTTTTCTTTCGAAATTCCTAATCCAAATTTTTTAAATATAGCTGGTCCAGAACAACTAACAAAACCATTGTGTTATGTTCCACTACCAATACATTAATATCATGTGTACAAT